CATTTTCATGAGTAGAAGACCAGGCTGCCAGCGTGGCTGGATGTCTCAGCCCCACCCAGATTTTACACACCTGCATATACATCTGAAAACTCCCGACTCTTCCCACTCCTTTTTAGAATGGGAAAAGAAAGAACCTTCAAACCAAGAATCTGATTCAAACCAAGAATCAGGGTTTCCTTAGCTGCAAGCGTAAGGCAGAACTGGTTCTGGCTAGATGGCGGAGAGAAGTCCAGTGGCTATAGCATCTACAGGAGGGAAGTGCATGGAGGTGATGGCCCCAGGGTATTTGCCCCAAGAGAGAACTCTAGGCCAAGAGAGGACATGGGGAGCACAGAACCCACTTCAGCTTCCCAAAGCACTGGGATTGCAGGCGTGAGCCACTGCAGCCACTCCAGAAATATTTTATTAGCATGTGTGTAGGTGCTGGCACAGCGTCACATCTCATAGGGACCTCCACAGGGAATGCTGCCTCCTGCCCCACCAGTAACCATGGTCTGGTTCTCTTGATTAATCAGCACAACCTGCAGAGTGAGTATTATCTCCTGCATTTTACAGATTAGGAAACCAAAGAGATCAGGAAACTTGTCCCAAAACACGTAGCTAATAATTGGCAGAGGAGCATCAAACCCAGGGCCAGATCCTCTGCTCTTTCCATTCTCTGAGTCTTTTCTGATCTCCCAGGTAGTTCTCAGGACATTGTTCAACGTTGCCTGAGCTTCCCCTCGTTGAAAAGGGACAGTCCTCCATGCCTGCACTGATGCCTACCTGTCCCTTTCCCTAGCGGCAGGGTCTCCAGAGTGCTCTGAGGGCTCCTTGGAGAAAAGCTCCAAATCTGGAGTGGCCAGTTCTGAGACCAGCTGTGAATGCACCAAGTGGCCTCCTGGAGTGCGTATGATGAGTTTCTTCCCATGCCAGACCAAAAAGAATGGAAGAAAGCTACTTGGGGAAAAACTGAAATTAGAGATGTGCTAGTAAATATTTAACAACTTGCTCTCTGAGAGTGGGGGTGGGGAGCACCGGGGCAAGCCCTGATTTGCAGCTTTTGCCAATTTCCATGGTGTAAATGCTCCCACCATGGCCAATTTCAAGCTCCCAATGTGATGTCAACCAATTTGCAAAATTTCTGAAGATTTAACAATTGGCTTTCACAGGCCAGAACAAGGCAGTTTCAGCCCAGTGCTTAATAGCCACGGCCTGCGCCTGGTTCACACCTGAGCCTACTTTTTAGACTGTGCTGCCCAGTAAATTCCCCCAAAAAAATTTACTTCAAGTTATCCCCATCCTCCTGGCCCCCAAGCCCTGTGGACAGCTGCAGGTCCTCTCCCTTTGAGCTCCAGTTCTTGGGAAGTGGATATCTCTGGCTAGAAAAAGAAACCTATTTGGGGATAAACACTCATTCTCCAAACCTGCAGGAAATGCACAGTTTGCTGACTTGGCCCCCATGAGCTATATAAATTTGAGTCATCGTCCTCCTCAGACCAGCTCTGCTGTCTTCTTCCCATACTTCTGCCAGTCACAGCCTCTCAGCTGGGGCCTCTTAGGACACTGGCAAGTGACCGCTTTTGATTTACATTTTATTCTGAGCTTTCCTCTTTCATCCACCAGGGCCTTCCCCACCCACCTTTCCCCGAACTCCTGCCTAGGAGGGGGACTTCATCCTCCTTCATCCCTCTTCATCCCAGGAGCTCAGCTAACAGAAGCCGTTTGTGGATTCCTTCAAGGACATGAGGAAACTCACTCCTAGTGGGCAGAGCAGAGCACACTCTTCCCCCTACATGTCACCCTCAAACGAGCTGTGCAGATGTAGCTATGCCTTGCTTTATGGCAGAAGTACACTCCGGAAATCTCGTGTTTAATAATAACAACCTCTCCTCCATCTGTGAAGCGCTCTAGAGTTTCCAAAGCACTTTTACATACTACACATCGTCAAATCCGAGCCTCACACCAGCACTGTGTGGTGGGTGGTGATTGTTAAAACACCCTCATGGTGTCTGAGCCTGTTGGAGTTGGAGGGGACTTCAGCTCTCATGTAACCCAGCCACCCAGCTGAAGCTCCCATCTTCTCCACAGTGGCCCAGCTGGTCAGTCCGACTCTACTTGGCCTCTGCAGTGGCAGGAAATTCACCTGGAAAGGGAAGCAGCCCATTCCAGCCTTAAAGAGTTGGGGGATTGGAAAAGTATTTAGGTTGTCTCCTTGTTATAGATCAAATGCATTGCTTCTAGTTTGGCCCTTCGAGTCATACAGAACTGATATAATCAAATCCCCTCATTCAGATATTCAAAGGGGGCTTTCATGTCTCCCCTTCTCCCCCATCCTCCAAATCTTGCTTATATATTCCAGGTTCCTTCAAATATTCCTCATACAACGAAGTACCGAACCCCTTTACCATCCTGGCCGACTCTGCTTTGAATGTATTTTCATGTACTTGTTTAATCAGAGTAGTGCAAGAACAGAAGTTTCTGCATGCTGTGAGCAATGCCTCTGTTAATGCATCCTCAGCTAGCATTAGTTTAGGTTGGATTTTTTTGACAGACACATTACACTTTTGATACACTGAGCCAGCTGTCAACTAAAACACGGCTATTAAGCCGTGTCTCTCCCTCCCTGCACTTCAATGTTGGTTTTTCTCGGCCCAAATGTTAGAAGTGTTAAAGTTTAACTTACTAGATGAAGATTAATCTTATCAGATTTAGCCCCTTGCCAAAATCTGTAAAGATCTTTTGGATCCCAGTTTCACGGCATTCGTAAATTTGTTGAGCATTTTTTTAGACGTTCTCTAAATCACTGATTAAAGTGCTGAATAAGAGGATAAGGAGGAAGCATGTGACACTCTTTTGGAAACCTGCCCCAAACTGATATCTATCCTTTAATTGTCATCCCTTGGGTGTAGTTTGCTAATCCATGCAATTGTCCACCAGGCTGCATCTCTCCACGTTTTCTGCCAGGCTATCATGGGAAATACCTTGCTGAGGTCGCTTACACCATGTTTTCCTGATCTGCAAGCTTAATGATCATGTCAGATCCACGAACTGAGCTTTCTGATAGCAGTCTCTCATCTTTGTGATCCCAGTGCCCAGCATGGTGCCTGGTGCATGGCAGGGACTCAAGAAGTATTTGAAGAAGTGATCAGTTGCATTAGTGAATGAAGGGATGAACCTGGCCCAGATAAGTGTGAAGGTGACTGGGTTTTAGCTTTTTCAGAATTCACTTTCTTTCTCTATTTTGAAAATTGGAACAGCATTTGCTTCTACTTTCTTTCTTACAGCACCTCCTTAATTCTCATGAATTCCAAAAGGTCACCAATTTGCTTACTGATGAGAAAATAGGAGCTTAGGAAAGTTAAAGAATTTGCCCAAGGTCAAAGGCTAATAGGGGGAGACGGCAGGATTCAAGCAATTGTCTTCTGGTTTCCAGGCACCATGATGCTATGTCTAGCTTCTTACCCACTGAGATTGGAAAGGCTCCCCCAGATCAGCCCTCAGTGGCAAGGGCTGCCTAATAAACAATGATACAATCTAGGAAAGCAGGTACATTTCTTTTACAGTCTCAATCTCATTCACCATCCATCATTCATCTATTCATTGATTCAACAAATATTTATTGAACACCTACTAGTGCCAGGCTATTCTGGGCCCTACGAATTCAACTGTTACAATCACTCCATGAGTTTACGTTTTAGCTGGGAGTGAAGAGAAAATCAATAAGCACATAAATATAGAATATGGTCATGGTAAGGGCTATGAAGAAAAATGAAGCAAAAGGCGGAGGGGCTGTATGGTACTCCAAAGAGGTGGCATCTGAGCGGAGATCTAAATGAAGAGATCTAAATGAAGACATGCAAATGTCTTGGGGATATATGCACCAGCAATGCTTGTATTCACAGAAGTATAATACTTTTTCTTCCAGAAAGCAGGGACCTAGATTCATATGACGAACTTTGCAACTATAAAATATCTGATTCTTTCAAGGCACGTTCATTCATTTATTTACTCACTCATTTTCTCCGCAAGTATTTTTAATAAGCATCAAACATTTTACTAAGTATGTGTCAGTTGGAAGCTGTCTATGAAGGAGGGAACAAGGCCTCAGAGGAGAAGACAGATAAGTACATGAAGCCCAACACCACATGTGGGGAGAGCTACCATCGTGCTATGGACAGGGTGGTATAAGAGATCAGCTGAGGTTTATCATCATTCACACTTTTAGACATTTCTTTGACTGAAGGAAATAAAAAAGCATGAAACTCCATAATGATGGTTTTTTAAAAAAGTTAAATCATTGAACCATGTCTTTAAACAAAACCTTAGATAGAAAATCTAATAGATAGTATTAAAAGGAGTTGCTCTGGTTGGTACAAAATTGCCGACCTCGGGACACCTTCATAAACGTGTCACAGATTATGAAAACACCTGCCCTAAATATTTGTTATGGCCAAGAACAAGAATCTGTCCATTGCCCACTAAAGACTGCTTGTCTTGAAGTGGCCAGGTAAACCAAATTTGGAGAGCCATTCAGTCGTCAGTCAAAACCCCTGGGACCATTGCCTGTGGCTTGCATTAAAGGGAATAAATAAACCTGTGTCCAAATGACAGCTGATTCAGCTCCTTTATTCCTGCTTTTCAAAGTCATCAAATCAACTGTATGATGGTCCAGACGACTCATAAGCACAATTTAAAGGGTTCATCCTATTGTTTTTTTCTCCTTCTGGGCAAGGGTTACCATATTTGCATTAAGAGTCATCTCTTTTCAGAGTGTGCTGGGCATCTCCTGGTTTTGGATGGCCTGAAGTTGTTTTCTAGAACATGCTCATTTGAAGAAAGCCAGCTTTTCTCCCCACTGTAGCACACGTACGAATGGATGCTCATTGTGTGCTCACAGTTCTCTTGCCCACATGCTCTCTTCAGGGCACAGCACAGGCCAAGGCAGACCTCACACTACAGCCTGGAGACCAGTACCTTGGCCATGCTAACCCACCATCTCCCCTTTCTTCTCTCTGCAGATGACGGCAACCGCCCAGCCACCCTCCAAGGCCCAGGCTGTCCACATCTCTGCCCCCTCAGCTGCTGCCAGCACACCTGTACCCAGTGCCCCCATCGACCCCCAGGCCCAGCTGGAGGCTGACAAGCGAGCTGTGTACAGGTAGGAGACACTTCAGCTGTGTCTACAGCCCTCAACCAGCTTCAGGCCCAGCTCAGTTGTGAGTGAGAATGCAGGCCAAAGGGTGGGCTCAACAGAGGTGATGGCCAATAGCTATTCTCTCTCAGCCTCCTTCTCTCTCTAGTTAATCCAGAAACCCCTCAGCTGGCCACAGTGACTCTAGCTTTCTGGAAATGTCTAGGGAGGGATATAGAGGCCTAGGCAGCATCTTCCAAGAGCAGCACTTCCTATCTCAACCAGGCAGATGACCCCTAATGGGTATCAGAAACCCTCCGCTCAGTCAAACAGGCAGCTGCCTCAGGACCCTGTCCTCGCCCTGTGCCCCATTGTTGCTTTCCCTCCATCAAGCCCGCCAGAGCTTGGCGGACCTCTGACCACACCCTCTAGGACTTGGTAGTCCACAAACTTTAGGAGGCATGAAAATCACAGCGAGAGCTTGTTAAAACACGTGGTTCTGGGCTCCATCCTCGAAGATGCCAAATCAGTAGATCAAGCTATAGGAAGAGAGATATGCATTTTTTAAAAGCATTCCAGGTGAATCTGAGGCGGCTGGTTATTGGACCACACTTGGATCCGTGGTAGTCTTTGTTTTTAAATAGTAGGTATTGGGTGCGATTGTCAGTTCTGGCACTTTTCCCCAAGAAGGGGAGTTTGCTGAGGACAGGCAGCTTGTTTCATCTTGTTCTGCATCTGCCCCATGCATCCAGGGCTGAGTCTTGAATGTTGCAGAGGGCGGGAAATGCCTCTCTCCTTGATGAACTCCCGTTCTTGTACACAGTTGGGGAGGAAGATGCTGTCACCTGAGAACAGGCCTGAATGAGGTTCCTACAGGGACTTTGGTTATCATATCCACTAAGAAGAGGTGCCCAAGTCTGCACTCAGTATTGAGGCTGAACTCTTGCTCACTTTCCCTTGTGGGAGCTTATATGTTCACATGCATCAGCAAGCATGGCTCGCCTCTGGCTGGGCACACACTGCAGCAGGTGCCAATGCCAGTAACATGTGGAATGATTCACCCAAGACTAATGAATAGGAAGATTTATTTCTTTCTGACTCCTCCCCCACCACCCCAATGACAGCGCCTTTATGGTAATGGTGGTAATTAGGGCTGTTATTCTCATTCTCATCGGCATTATTTTTAGTTCCTCAGATAAGCCAAATGCCTCTAATACCAACAGTTGGGAGTCCAGAGCAGTGGCCTCTGATCACGGATCCTGGCACTGGCGGCCTCCCGGGCCCAGCAGAGGGACAAAACACAGCACCTGTGCCCTGCCCTGTGAAACACATGGGCCAGGCCCAGCTGCCTGCTGGTGGAGAGCTCTGGCTTGGGCCCCAAAGAACTCCAGGACCTGGTCATGGTACCTGTCAGGGAGACTGTAAGAAAGGTCGAGCTAGCCACCCCAGTGTGGGATGGGCCTCCTTCCCTCTGCCTTTCCCTCTTTACACTCTCTTATTGAATCCTTACTATTCCTATATGTGGGCTGTGCTAGACTCCAGCAGAAGGAGGGTCAAAGTACAGGCTCTTCCCTCCGTCTCTCCAGGCACCGTCTCATGTGCAAACAAGAAACCAGAGCTACGTGGTCAGAGCAACGGGGAAGGCTTCACAGAGAAGGCAATATTTGAGTTTGGTCCTAAAGGTTGAGTAAGAGACCCCACTAGGTGGAGAAATGGGGTGGGAGTGGACCTTTCAGGACAGCCAGTGGCCAGAGAAGCTGGGAGTGGAGAGGTGAGACTGCACAGCCACCTATAATTAACCCGGGCAAGGTGCGGTGGGCTTGTGCTTTTGTGGGGAGCATAAGGAGGGAAGGGAGTAACATGGCCTCTGAAAACCGCCCGACAGCCTGATGACATATGCTTGTCATACTCTATTTGGAGCATTGCTACTCAAAGTATGGCCTGTGGACTCGCAGCATCACATCACCTGGGAGCAGATTAGAAATGCAGGCTCTCAAGGCTCACTCAGGCCTAAGGACTCACAATCTGAATTTTCACAAGATCCCAGGGGATTCCTATGCATACTGAAGACTCACCTCGCAGCTGCTCAGACCTCTGGGACAGGGGCCGGTAGTGAGCATAGATCATGGTCGAGAAAGACCCCCAGATGAGTGGTGTAACCAACAGTTTTTAGAAACCTAGGTTTGAGTCCCACCTCCACCGTGTCCTAGCCTCTCTGAGCTTTCATGTCCCGATGGAACCTAAGCAGCAGACTTAGACTTGAAAAGAATCAATGAGATGGCCCATGGAGGCACCTGGGCCCGCGTCTGGCACCAAACAGATGGGTTTATTAGGTCCTCACCAATGGGAACCATGGGTTCCAAAGCCCTTCTCACAATACTAGGCACGTACCCTACCCAGGCCAACCTGCAGGAGAGGTGGGTCATCGCTCCCATGGGAGCCATCACATGAATGTCACTTGAAATATGGCCTAGACCTTTCTGCAATTAACACTTCTTCCTACTCCCCTTCCCTCCTGGGCTTTATCTTCTCCCACGGGGCTGACCACCTGCAACCCTTGGTGTTTGCCCAAAGTCTGTCTGCAGCTGTCTGACATGGAAGAGGGAATCCCAGGCAAACGTGGCTGCCCCAGCACCTCAGGACACCGAACTGACAGCAGCAGCATGCTGGCTTCCCATCTCTCCAGTGCTGCTGCTGCCTCCTGGCCCGGCAGCCCCAGGATTGTCTCCTACAACCACACCTCTCCCATTAGTACCAGCCGCCCTCTCTGCAGCCATTGCCCCAGGATGACCGGGGAGGGAGCTCAGCCTCCTGTAGGGTCAGGTAATTTTAATTAGATTTGCCTGCCTGGGGCAGCCTGGCTGCTCCAAAGCACATCGGGGAGTCGGCATTTCACGTCAATAAATGTAACCAGACCTTTCCATTCAGATGAGTGCCCCACACTGGCTTTTGGGAGCCCCCATCATGGCCCCTCCTAGAACCACAGATGAAGGAAGGGTGAGGGTGGCCCCTCCCTGCCTAGGGCCCTGCTGGGTGGCAGAGGGACAGTGTGACAAAGGGGAGGGAGCCTGCCAGTGCCCGGGAGGTTTTATTTGTGTATGAGGATGTGTTAATGAAATGTACTAGTTCCCTTCTGATGTGGAAACTATGGGGTGGGGGACGGAGGGCAGCGTCTGTCTTTAATTGGATCATACCAGAGCATCATCTGGACTAATCAGCAAAGCAACCAGGGGCTCCCGCTCAGATTAATGATTGCAGTCTAATCCGAGCAGATCCTATGATTGGATACACATCGCGGGTAATTGTGTTTGTGGCCCAGGAGCAGCACTGAGAGGGGGTCCAAAGAGGGGAGGCCAGTGGAGTGAGGTACCACAGGTTTGAACCTCCCAAACCTCAGTTCTCTCCTCCCCCAGTCCCCACCTCAACCCTGGGGTTTTCTCCCAAAGAAGTTCAAGCTTAGCTTGAACCACAGTACCCATCTGCCCATGCTGGTGATGGGTTCGATGTTAGGTGCTGCCTAAATCGGGGGATTAGGTTGCCGGCAGCGCAGAGGCAGGGCCAAAAGGGTGAGGTTAATCCAGCTTTCCCTCCCCCTCCTCCCCTCCAGTCTCCTTCGTTCCCCTTTGAAGTGAATGGGTTCCCATGGAAACCATGGTGTCCTGAGGAGCGGAAGAGGGGCAGGAGCTAGGCCTGGCCAGGTGCTGGTGGGGGAGGAGGCTGGCTTTCTGAAGACTGCTCTGCTAAACCTCTGAGAACCAGGGACGTGGAGGTGCTGAAGTTGTTGCCCATTATTGATAAGGAAAAGCTGGGCTGGAGGCATGAGCAGTAAGAAGACAGTGAGGGCAGTGGTGCTTTGCCTTTCCATTAGGAATCCAGAGAGTGGAGCTGCTGGTCAGGGGTAGAGGGTGAGGTGGCTTCTGGACCCGCCTGTCTCCTTTGCGGCATTACTCACCATTGAATTAACTGAGTTAGCATTTGGGTCAACCTTATTTCTGTTTCCCTCGCTATACTGTTAGCTCCAGAGGACAGGTCTGCGTCTGTCTTGCTCACTGCTTTATCCCTAGCACCTTACATGATACCTTAGAGTCAGCAGCTTAGACGAAGTAGCTACTGCAGCAAAGCTTGTTGGATGGCTTCATTAAATAGGTTAGGGAGCACCCCATAAACTATCATAGTTCTAGGTTGATGTGCTGGCAAATGTCTCTCGAGGCGGGGAAGGGGAGCAGCTCCGATCTGTAGCATTTGCTGATCCCCGTGATGTAAATACTCGTACCATGGCCCATCCCAAACCGCCCACCTGATGCCACCGAGCAGTAGGGAACACATGAGCAGGGCGGGCTCTCACTGGCCTCAAAGCCCAAACCCCACACAGGGAACCAGGTTCCAGGTGCACAGTCTCTAGATTTACATGGGTAAGCCCATCTTACAGGCCAGTTCTTTAGAATGGTGTTACTGATACTTCCAGCTGCAATCCTACATTCTTGGTCTGCACTGTCCTGTCTGGTCCACTCCTGGGTTCTAAATTTGAAATGTTCTCTCTTCATCAATGAACTCTTGGAACAGCACCTGGTGTGTATAGGTGTTTTATAAATGTCTGCAGTGATGATTTTCCGCCTGAATGCCAAGGCAGTCCGTCTCTTTCCATCTGCTTCAACAGCGCCCCACCTTCACTCCAAACTTCTCCATCTTTTCCAAGTGGCTTTCAAACCTCTCCTGGTCTATCAGCGAATGATCTCCTTCCTCGCAGCTCCAGAAACCCTGCCTCAAACCATTCTTCTGCTTCCTCCTTAGTTTCTTAGCTCTGAGAATCTTACACTTTCCACATCATGTGTCTAGTTCTTTCTGTCAGTCTCATCTCCCACACATCACAAGCTCAGAACTTCTACCCACATGGGACCACCAGAGAGCTCATGCTCAAGTCCAGCTCTGGTTCAGTAAAAGCAATGTGAGCCCTGCTTATAACGCACTTGTTTCTGTCTCATGCAGACTGGATGGCAGAATCCACACTTGTGGGGGGAAGGAACAGA